CACCGAATCAAACAGGAGCCATGAGCGGGTAATCCGAACGGTCGGCCCATTTAGCTATCCGGTTTTGGGAACATTCCGGAAGGTTCCAGGCCAGTTTTGGGAATATGTTATTTTATTTTTCTGATGTTTATTTATTGGTTTTCTTTGGGGTTTTTCATCTTTCTAAAATTCCCTTCAAAAATATGTCCTGAAATTTCCAAAATTGTTCTGATTATAAAACTATTCACATTTTTTTCAAAAAAAAGACCATGTTTCAAATATTGTCCGAATTTCAATAAATATTCCCATTTTAAAAGATTTTTCACATATTTAAAAAAATATTTGTGCCTTCAGAAAATGATTAGGAGTTTTCAAAAAAATCCAAATTTTTAAAATTGTTCATGTTCGAAAATTTGCAAAAAGTGTTCGTATTTTAAAAAATTATTCAGTATTTCAGAAGAAAAAAAAATCTTGTTTTCAAAATTTGTCCACAAATTCAAAAAATGATGGGGAACTTCCAAAAAATGTTTGAGTTTTTTTTTCAAAAATGACCACACTTCAAAAAGTGTTATTTTCTAAAAAGAAAATGTATGTCTTACGCGCTCACTCGCTCCTCTTCGTGCATGGGCCAATCCGCCAGATGACCCCGCCGCCGTGGCCACTATGGCAGCGGCAGAAAACTCAACATTTCACGGGTGCACCAACGCGTGCAGATGCCATGGATGTGCGAGATACAAGGGCTAAAAGACGATAAATTCTTGCTAGGAAAAGGGAAACGATTCGTTGTGGTCGACCGGATGAAACTAACGATGGCCGCTCTTTTTTTTCTTTTCCTTTTTGCGAAAATGATCATATCCATCACTCCCTTCATTTCAAAATATTTTTTTTAAAAAAAAAATCCAATAAGTGACCAAATACGGAACAAAATGAGTAAATCTACATTTTAAAACATGTTTATATCCATCCGGAGCAGAGTAAAACCCACGGCCATCATCAGTCATCATCATCCGATGGACAAAGCTACGTACCAAGGTGGCCAATGGCACGGGCGGCCAACTGCTAACAGCCAAAAGGAGCAACCATCCAAAGCGCGCAGCAACAGGAAGAGCGCCACCACGTGCACCCAACCACCGCCGCAGCATGTGCAACTCATCCGTCGGCTCACAAGAATCCCACCGATTGATTCCGCGCCGTGACAAAAGGCGCTTCTCCGGGTACGTACACGGTACACCAACCAGAGTATGCAAGTATTTCTACACCCTACTGTGTGTGCAGTGTTCACAGCGGCCAGCAACTTGCCAGAGTAATTTCATTCGTTTCCACATCTGCTTGCAGTGTCCTTCTTTGAGGTGAGCGAGCAACGGAGTCGCCCAACTGAGATCACACCAACATTCTGGAATCTGTGGCCCGGGCACTTTTTCTTTTTTACTTTTCTACATGCATAATAATATGATAAATGAGAAGGAACACAAACTCTGATGCTTTCTGCGTATGGATTTTTAGCTATCTCAGACTTTGTCGGTACATGCGCAGCTACTTGGAGTGCTGGACAACTTGAAAGGGATAACATCACCTCAGGTGGCTTCCCAGTGCCTGCTCCAGGCATATGCAAGTGGAAATGTGCAACTTATCAACACGACAGACACAGGCAAACTCTCGCAGTTTCGCGCGCATTTCGTGAGCACGGATCAAGATAAAGGTTGCAACTTCGCAGCTTATGTGCCCTCTCAAGAGGACACGCCGTTGCAGGTAAAATCACTACCTAGAATCCTCTCAGCAGCTAGATCAACTGACAAATTTAATTTTGGTTTCTGTGCAGAGGGCCGAGTGGATCAAGTACCTGAGAACGTTCACGAATTCTGAAGACAGGGCCAATGCAGTATATGATGCAGTTAAGACCAGCAAAATGTGACTGAATTTGTGTTGTCATGATTGAGCGAGAAAACTGTGTTTATTATGCACTCAGTAATATTACCATACCATAATAAGTAGCTGCAGCTTAACTAGTTAAGCCCACATAATTTCTGCAATACTATTCTGTAGATTTTATATATACAGGTACCTAAGGACAGTGTATCTCATTTTTGCACCAAGTTTTAACGGAACCGGATCCTCTAACATTGAGAAGGAATGTCACCGTGCTACAGTGTTAGGCTAGTGTAAAATGAAGAAGGAAAGTTAGGGACTGTTAGTAGATAATTAATAGGTTGTTTAGTGTTGGTATTTACTGTAAATATAAATAATTTAAATTTAATTCTATTTCACCATCAATTTGTTTGCATATAATTACTATAAATGTATACGGTAGATCATCAAATTGCAAATTAATTTAAATCATTTTAGACATAATCATATGAATAGAAAGAAGGAAAGTTAAGAGTATTGTAGCTTCTCTAACATTCCTTCTTAATGTTAGAGGATCCGGTTCCAGTTTTAACACACGTATTCATTCCTAATGCAGATCAAGACAAACTACCTGTGCTTAAGCAAAGCAGCTGCTGCCCTAAGCACCCGATTCAAACCTGTAGTGGCATGGGTCGAATTCACAGAGGTATGCAACTTTACGCCCAAGGGATCATGAATGTCTGGTGCATCTATCTAAGCAAGATTTTGAATATACAGTTTTTACTGATCATCAATGTACTGTATCTACTGCTGCTGTAGGGAGTATGGACATTTGTCAGAGAAAGTTACAAGTTACAGGTAGCAGCATCACTCTGTATTTCAAAAGTTCAAATTTAAAAAAGGAGTGGAAAACTGATGTGCATGTCTGTGTTTATTCCATGAGCAGTACGTCAAAGATGCAGGAGCAGAGATTGTGGATGCAACTATTACCGATAAGAGGTTCAAGGTTTCAGATCCAGAGGACATGGACAGCTTACATGCCATTCTTTGTGTGAGTACCAACAATAATGAACCTAATGTCAGCCAGACCACCATTTCAGATGATGCTAAGAAGAGCTCGTTTCTTACCACTTGACAGCTTATATGAACTTTTAACATTTTTCTAAAATGAACCTGGCCCCTTAATATGTATAAGAAGAAAATTCCGCAAACCTCCATATGATCTATTAGTTCACAATTCTTTGACTGTATTTATTTACCATTTACTAGCATCTAACTCAAAGCCTGGTTCGTACAAATTTCAGACGGTGGATGTGGTCATAGATCAGACATATGCCTCGGATCCTGCAGAGTACAAGCTATCCACATTTTTGGACAATATTGATGTGGGCCGTGACTCTTGTTTCAGTTTCATAACTAACCAAAGCATATGGAGATTTGATAAAAGAATAGGAAATTCCAAGACACTTGGTAATGACAGTTATCTTTATTGTTTCTGTGCTTAAGAAAACATAGTGATCTGGTTTTCCTTTTTTTTTCTCATTCCACTTAATCAGGGTTGATGAGTTGATAACAATGCCCAAACCCCAGGGTGTGATATGGTTTTACATATGTAGTGGTCTAATGAACTCCCTGTTTTTAATAAGATTGGTCAGACGGAGCTATCTCCCAGCCCCAGGTGGTTCTTGCTGATCTGATAGAAGTTTTCTTCCCAACGGGGAACTACACAACATTTTACTTCAGGAACCTTGCAAAGGTATGCACTATGTTTTCTCCAGGCTATCTTTTCCCTTCTGTTGAATTAAACCATTAGCCCCCCAAAAATGATGTTGATCAGCAGCATTGTAACTACTCAGGAAGAAGGGGTCACAGAAATTGGCCCTGAAATGTGCACTAGGAGCATATCCACGCCCATGGAGCCTACGATCCTGCCCTGCCAATGACCACCTTAGATGAACATTAAGACGATTCAAGCTACCGTGCTCGCAAACAGTGCATGCTTATTAGTGGGAGTGTTTAATTTCTAGGTTACTGACAAGGTGACTTGATCGGCAGTGTTTTGTTAAGTGTGTTGCATCACTATACTCATCAGTCGTCAATTGACTTTTTTTTCCAAGAGCAGCAGTTGTACCTTTATCTGCCGATCGTTTTGATAAAGTGATCACAGATCAATACAAACTTGTTTTAGGAATATCACTTGAGAATGACAACTATTCTTGGTACAAATATTTGCAGTCTTGTTTCCTTGAATGATAATTTCTTTATAAGACTGAGATGAACTGCTTGTAAGCTCAGTCAGTAGTCACATTATTAATTTGGCTTACAAGCAGACAAAAGAAATAGAAGGAGAATCCCAGCACATTAGCCCTCAGATCTTCAATATTAAGGACATGCTTGGTTTGAGGACTAAATTTGGCATGCTAATGTTTGGCAAGGTAGAAAGTTGGCTACCAATTTGCCTTGCCAACCTCTCAAAAAATTGCCAATATTGTCAAGTTTAGGACATTGCCAGACATTGGCTGGCCAATTTTTGGTAAATAAACCAAGCATGCCGTAAGATTAGCACTTGGTGATACCTTTTATGTGATCAAATAGGGAAACATGAAACATGAACTGCAAGAACAGGTATAAGTATCTGCTACCATAAGCACAATTAGTTGGTTTATAATTCATAATAAGCATTCAGAAACGACTCTCGTTATGGTCAGATAAGGTCAGATAAGGTTTAAGTCAACTGATCACAATACATTCTGTTCATGTATGTATGATGCTATTAGGGCTCCAAAGTCAACAAGATCCTCATGCCTGTGAGCCATGACAAGCCCAGTGAATGGGAATAAGAACAGACACCCATAGATCCAATTGGAAGAATTCACCCATTGAATGATCTTTTATTCTCAGACAGGATACTCCAGTCTAATAGTTAACTCTATTCATCTATTCCATGACAGGTTCGAGGGGTCTGCAAAGTTCCTGAAAATAGTCAAATGTGATTATCTTGGCGCAACAATTAGAACTAGTCACTAATTAACCCTTTGTACAATTTCATATAATGGTTCATGCATAACAAGCTGAAAACTAGAGCTCAAGCTTCGTATATGATGGAACGAGAAAAGAGCCATCTGGCTCATTATAGCATCTTCCTAATTTCACTCAAATTGACAGAACCAATAACTACATTGTTTTAATCTAATCAAACAAAATGCATTCAGGTAACATACTAATAACAAGAGGGTTCATGAAAAGTAAGTGTGATATGAATGCTTCAAAACATGTTTTAAGATAGAGAAATGAGATGTCCAGTATGAAATAGCAGTCAGCAAACTGTTAAACATACCTCCGTTTAACCATGTAGAGAACTAAGAAGCCCATAGCAAGGGAAAGGCACAAACCACCAATAGTCAGATATGCCATGCCAATGAAGTTGTTTTTCCCTCCAATCCAAGATGCAGTAGAAAGGACCAACGCTTTTGATCCTCCAAAACTATATGTGTTATAGTTGTTCTGTATAACCACTGTTACATTATCATTTGCATTGATATCTTTCTCAATTCTGCCATACAGCTTCCTGAAAGTTGGGAGGGCAGCAGTTCTCATCCAAACAATGAGATCTTCTTGCTCACTTAACTACACAATTGTGACAAGAAGAATAAATTAGAGTAAAAAAATCTAGAAGGATGTGCATAAAATGATTGTAAGTGTTCTATATTCCAGCACGCAGATCCCTTAATACCAAAAGTAATGCATATGCAGGGTGATGGAAATATGCACGTACTGGTATGCTCTCATTTAGCGTAGCACCACCTATAAGCCTTCCCTTCTGAAAGTTACTGGGATAGATATTCTTGCCGAATTTATTGTTCTTGTCACTCTTCCAAGCTATGTCCTTTTTATTCACTTGAGTAACCACTCCATTGACCCGGACTGTATATGTGTCGTTGAACAAACTCCAAGCAACAAGGCCACATGGAACAATTGGAGCATGATCAGCGGTCTCACCTTCAGGCACACAATCTGATGTCAAATGTGCAGCACTCTTATACCGCAGTTGTTTGTCACTTCGACTTCTCACATACCTATGAAAAGACAAGCAACAATTGGTCTGAGTATGTCGACATAATTTGTTCCAACAGGACAATTGTCAATACAACAGTATAGCGTGCCTGCTAATGTAGTAGAGATAAAAATGCAACAGAAGGTAGGAAATGAATATTTTCAAATTCCTTGTGAAGCACTGATTGAGAACCAACCAGGGAAGCAATATAGGTTTTTTTCAATAAAATATTTAATAGGAAAATATACCTTCGATGGTTTTGATAGAAGCCGTCGATCAGGTAATAGACATGGATTGGGCTCTTCATGTATTTTGGCACCTGAAAGGCATACAACAACCAGTTTGTTCAAATTTATAGGAGATAATGTGCTTAAAGACTATCTCAACAACAGCAGTACTATGCGCAACCATCACAAGTAAATATGTATAACTGCAATAACATTTTCACTTGAAACTCACAGTCATTGTTACTGTGCATGTTTTGTCAGTCCTGGAGTTCTGGATGAACCCAACCTTGTCATCCACGGGCACACAACTTGCATCATATCTATGCACCAGTTCGACAACCTGCATCACAGGGAAGGTACAGGGTAAACAAATGCACCATGAAGAATCACGCCAGAGAAACATCCAAGACATCCGCATTTGACCTGCCGTGATGCATGCAGCGACGCAAGCCCGATGGGAACAAACAGGGCGCCAATGAGCGCGAAGGCGGCAATGACCTATGCATGTCCAGATATCATCATCACTTGCAAGTAACTCATAAATTTCATATGTAATTATTGGAACTGAAGATGGTAAACAAGCATCGGAGATTAGGATGGTTACAATTTCAGGTGTGAGTAGTGGCTTGCATGCTGGAAGCTCCTGCTGTGTGAACTTGGAATCTGCAGACAGAGAGAACCAAACCATGCCTGTCAATTTGTCGAAACAGCACTGGATCCAACAAAAGACCCTGACAAATAATAGTACGGCATGCATTCGAGTCGAGATAGAATAAATAATAAGGTACTGGCAGGGGAGCAAGAAAGAGGTGAATACACTTGGGCTTGTTGGTCGTCTTTGGGTTCGAGTTGCCCTCCATTTCCAAAGGATACATCTGCATGCGTGAGCAACCAAAATGGAGTCGAGCATTAAAAAAAGTCAAAGATAAAACATTTGATAGATTTACTCCGAGAATAAGCAAACGGCATATAATTAGAGGTGATAAACAATCGGAACATAGTGCGAAGTTATATAGAAACAGAGAAGACTCAAAGCCAGTGAGACCAACTCCTGTGGCGCACAGCTGAGTCGAAAGGGGATTTGGATGGAGTGGCCGGGACCCCCACAGGAAGAAATGATAGAAAAAGACCCCGTCTTTTTCTCTAATCATCACCCTAATGACCCGAGTCCGCCCACGACTCCAAGGTTCCTCGCGGTCTCTGTCCAAATCGCGACCATTAGCTAGCTGATAATGATGCCGATGCCCTAGCTACCGGGCGACTGGCACGGCAGCGCCCGTCGGAGACGAGTACGACCACGCGCGAAGACCGCGGCAGTCCTCCGCTGACCGAGGAGACCGGGATTACGCCTCCAGCAGGCAAGCGCGGCCGCGCAAATCGCGATTGGACTGGCCGACGGGGCGCGCGGGGGAGCGTGGAAGCGGGGGAATCGGTC